CTGCACCCCCTTCAACGAAACTAAGGCGTGAGCACCCAAACGCCACTTTCCAACCAAAAACCTGGAAGCATTGCCTGGTGGCAAGTGCCGCCAACCACTGCCTTCTACTACTAGTCCCTAAAGCAGCGCGGAGCTGCTTTAGCTGGGCTTCTCTCTCCCTTCTCAGTCTCTCTCACCTTCCTCAGTGACCCGTCACCCTTCTTCTTTCCAGCCTCGGGCAAAAAAAAAAAAAAGACTTGGTACAGCTGGCTAGAAAGCACGCCTGAATTCCTCGCAACTTCCTGCCTCTGCCTGCGAGGAAGTGGGCGGGGGGCGGGGGCGAGGTGTGCAAGCATGGGCCGGGAAGCATGACTGGTCAGGGAATGACCTTCCCCAGGAAAGTTGGAGGCGTAGCAGCCGCCACCGCCACAGCTGCTGCTGCTTCCTTGTGCTTTGGCGACAGATGCCATGGCGCTCCTTCAGCGCCTGTGCTCAATCTGTTCCTCTGGGTCGTACTGCAGCAGCAGCAGCAACAGCAACAGCTTTATCTGCACGCATGCGTGTGCGTGGTTGATGGGGGAGAAGGAGAAGGAGAGGAAAAGGGAGACTAGCGCTGGGCATACCATAGCACTCTTTTCTCCCTCTCTCTCCCTTGCAGCGTCCAAGCTTTGCAGCCCAGTAAAAAATGATCTACGGACCGATACCAGTCCGGGGACCGGTGGTTGGGGACCCCTGCTGTAGAGTCTTATAAAATTCTGCTGGTAGCCCACCTGGGCCCAGAGCCTTTCCAGTATTTTGTCTCTTTAATACCTCCATTAGTTCCATCATTGTTATTTTCCCTTCTAAAATTATTTTACTATCCTCAGATATTTGGGGTATCCTCGGATATTTTCCTCTTTGTGAGTATTGTTTAACTTTTTTTTCATCAATATTCTCTTGATTGTATATTTTTTCAGTATTTCTATACTATCTTTTTCTTTTCATTATTTCCATTACAAATCTTTCCTTGCATTATCTTTTTCATTTCTCACTCTTTTTTCAATTTATATGCCAACCATCTGGCTGGTTCATTTGCATTTTCAAAGAAATTCTTTTTGGCATTCCTATTTTTTTGAGCTAAGTCTTATTTTTCCATCAACCCCATTTTGTGTTTAACTATGTCCATTTGCTTTGTGATATCCTTTTTTTGTGGATATCTTTGTAAGTCCCCTTCAAGTTTCTTACAGTCTTCTTCTAGCATCCCTTGCATTCATCTTTTTTTATACATTTCTCTTTCTTGTATAGTCTATTATAAGTCCTCTGGCATACATCTTCATGGTATCCCATAAGTTTTGTAGTGAGGTGTCCTCCTTGTTGTTTTCTTTGAAAAAAAGGCCAATTCTTTCTCCATCTTTTGTGTAAATTCTTTTACTTTCAATATTGTATTATTCAAAGTCCATCTAGATCTTTTCCTTTGTCCTTGCCACTTAATCCATACTGGATTGTGGTCCACCCAAGTACTTGTTTCAATATTAACTTCTTGTATATTTGAGATTAATTCCATTGACATCCAAATCATATCTATTCTTGACCATGATAACTGTCTGTTGAAGTAAAGGTATATTGTCTATTCTTTACATTTCTTTCTCTCCAAACATCTTTAATGCTCTACCATTTTGAAGAAGGATTTTGGAAGTGTCTTTCTATTTTGTTTATTAGCTTTCTATGTTGTATAGTCCAGTTTTGTATCTACTATCCCATTAAAATCATCTATAAGACATATATTATCATATTCCAGTTCTATAATTGTCTTATGCAATTTTTTGTAAAATTCTTCTTGTTTTTCATTGGGAGTGTATATTGCAACTAAAAGTATCTTTCTGTTGTTATCAGTTATTTCCTCCATTAATATTCTTCCTTCTTCATCTGTAAAAATTAATTCAACTTTGATCGTATTCCTAATGTATAGAACAACTCCCCTTTTTTGTTGTTGTGCCAAGGAAGTATGTAAGTTCCCGATTTTAGGATGATTCAATACCTGAGCATGTTGTTTTTTAATATGAACTTCTTGCAAGCAGATTATATCTAATTTTAATTTTGCTAATTTATGGAATATTTTCCTTCTTTCTATGGCCAAATTCAATTCATTTATATTTATTATGATCAATTTCTTTTCTTCCATTATTTATACATTATATGTAGAGTTAACAGCTCTTGTAGATCTTTGCTCTCTTGCTTCTTGAAAGTCCTCCCCTCCACTTACTGCTGCTTCCTCACATGTTGTTTCTTCTTGCATTACTTTATTTCTTACTTCTCGTCTTGAGTTTTGATTGTTTCCTCCTCTTGTAGTCTCTCATCTTCTTTTCCTCTGAAATATTCTCCATAGAATAATTCTGCTTTTTCTATTGAGTCTAATCTATGTCTTTGCTCTTGCCAGGTAAATATAAGACCATCAGGAAACAACCATCTATAGTCACTCCCTCCAAAAAAGATTAACTTTTTTGTCAGGAATTGATACTTTCTTCTCATTTCTCTCACTTTTCTTAGTACTTGTTTTAGGACCATAATCTCCTTGCCTTTGTATTTCAGTGGTTCATCTCTTGCACTTTGCAGTATTTGTGTTTTAATTGCTTTCTTGATAAATCTTACCTGGACTTCTCTAGGTAATTCATTTCTCATTGCATATCTTGTAAAAACTCGGTACACCTCATCTATTCCATCCATTGTTTTCTCTTTGGATATCTTCAAGGCCTCTGCCAGTATTTCTATCATTATTTCTGTGAGGTTTCTCCCTTTCCTTCCTCAATATTTTGGAATCTGAGATAGAAATCTTCCCTATCCATCTCCCAGCCCAGCATTCCATTTCCTTTGTCATATTCTACAGCAGTCAATCTGCTATCCATTTCACCAATTTTTTATCTCTCTGATCACCTTTTTCCTCTACCTTTTGAAACCTTTCTTCATTCTTCATCATCATTTGTTGTATGTTCTCTAGTTTCTCATCTGTTTTCTCTGTTCTCTCCTCAGTTCTTTCCATTCATATCCCTTGCTCTTGTATTGCTTGTGGTATCATTTGTAAGGTAACTTCATTTTCTTTCTCTTTGTCTTTCTCATTTTCCTGCTGCAACATTGCATGTATTGACCACTGGCCATTAAGTAGGAGGAAAAGGTAGGGATTGATGAACTTGTGGTGGTTGCCTTCCTCATTTCAAATTAATTGTAAATCCAGTTGATAAAAATCAGCGTACAACCCCAGTAAACAATAAACTATCTTCAGGTTCTTCTTTACCTCAATCCAATTTGAAAAAAGAGAAAAAGAGTTTTAAAAATTAAAATTCAATGTAGAAGTAAAAAAAGAAAAAGAAAAAGAAAGAATGGTAAAAAGTCAAAAAGAAAAATTCAACTTCAAGAGGCACACACACAAAAAGAAGGATAAAAAATTATTTAAAGATAAAAAAGGTATAAAAATAATCCAACAGTAATATCAAAAAGAAAATAAATGAGTTTAAGGAGGTAAAAAGAAACAGAGAAAAAGCTAAAAAAGGCCAATATTCCAGCAACATAATCCCAATCAAATGGAAAAAGAGAAATGGGGAAAGGGAAAAAAAGCCAAAAGAATCTGGCCAGGCAAGGCTGCCAGCCAGAAAAATATTGCAGTTTAAAATTTTGTCACAAAGTAAATCACTGCCAGCATACAATGTCCAAGGCACACTATCAATGTTTCAGCAAGTATAGTCCAAGGTCACCAAAGACACTTCTTGCAACTTCAATTCCTAGCCACTGTGATTTTACAAGAGTAACACCCAGGGGTGGGATTCAATTTTTTTAACAACCAGTTTTGTGGGCATGGCTCAGTTGGTGGGCGTGGTTTCATGGGCATGTTATTGGCTGGGCATGGCCAACTCAATATTATTCACATCGAGGCACGCATCTCCTCTCCTGGCCTCTCATGACTGTGGGGATGCTGCAATAGTCGTAAGTGTGAAAAATGGTCATAATTCACTTTTTTCAGTGCCATTGTAACTTTGAATGGTCCCTCCACACAAGCAAAGTACCAGCCAAGGGGGAGAAAAAAACTCCAGAGAAGTTCCTGAAACAGGAAGTCTAGTCCTGCCAAGAATGTAATAAGTGTTAACAGAGAGGCAGTTTCTGTAAGCAACACCAAAATGTTTCCTTCCTGCCTTCCTTACAGTATTAGGCCAGTAATTTCTTCTAACAACTGGTTCTCTGAACTGCTTAGAGTGTTAACATCTGGTTCTTGCGAATAGGTGCGAACTGGTAGAATCCCACCCCTGGTAACACCTGTATAAACAATTCTTCAGTGTTCCACTCTTTATCTTCTATAAATATAAACAGCCCGGGTGGAAAGTTTCTGTTTCTCAAAGTAAAAGTGTTCTTTAAGGCCTCTAGTTGGCAGTGTTACTTTGTTTTATTTAACTTTCAGTTCCTCTTTACAATGTAACAAAGTCAAAAAGAAGTTTCAAAATAAAAGGTTCTCTTATAGAAAAAAGAAAACCAACAGAACACAAAGAAAAGTCCAGTTTCTCCCTTTAAATTAGATATTAAGAATTTTTTCTCATTGATTATTAAAGAAACAAAAGTCCAGTCCAGTTTAGGATAATTCATTAAACAATAAAAAACCAATTAGTTTGACAAATGACTCTTTTCTGCCACTGTTTCCTCTTCTTGTCTTCAATTATCCTTCTTTTCACCTTTAGGGTGCTCTTTTATAAGAAAAATAAATTTAAAATCTCACCAAACCCGAGACACTTTCTTTCCCTTTCTTTCTTCTGAAAGCTGTCCCAATCTTTCAGCAGCTTGAATTGCCACTTTCCTCCACAGCTGAATTGGAGAATTTTTCCTAGATCAACCAGGGATTTTGCGATATCTCTAGGATCAGTAAGCTGCAGTCTCCTTGATCACCATCTCTTTGTGACGGTTTAGGTCCAAACAGACCATCCAGCTGTGGGAATATCAGCATCAGTCCTGGAGCCCCAAAACCCTTTGTCCATATTGTCACAATGTCAGCTCTGCCCCTTTTGTCTCTTGATCACTTCTGACAATTCCATCATTGATATTCATTCATTTAACATAGCTTTTACTTTTTCTGGTACTTTAGGTAGTTCTACTTTTTCCAAATATTATTTGATTTCTTTTCTGGAACTTTTTCTTGCTCATACAGTTTTTCATAATAATCTTGAATTATTATTTCTTTATCCTCATATTGGTAGTATAAAGTTCCTTTCTTATCTACCAGCCTATGTATCAATTTCTTCTTTTTCTCTGTTTTCAATTTATATGCCAACCATTTTTCTGCCTTATTTGTGTTTTCAAAAATGTTCTATTTAGCATTTATGATTTTTATGCCAACTCTTCTTTATCTAGTAGGGTTATTTTATGTTTTATTAGATCCATTTAGTTTTTTAGAGTCTTCTTGTTTACTTCTTTCTGTAATTCTAATTCCAGTCTCCTATGTTCTTCTGCTAACATATTTTGATTTTGTTTCTTTTTCTTGTTTTTTCCTCTGTATATGTTATAGCTAATCCCTGTCAGCTGTGCTTGTCTGTTCTTGTCTGCCTGTTTCTTATGGGCTTGATGAGCATCATCTAATGCTTTACAGGTAACCGGCCAGGTAAGCTGGAACTGTGTTATCCACTCCTCCAGCGATGGGATTTGGGGTTTCTCCTGAGGTAGTTCTGGAATGAGTACAAAATCCTGACCAGTAGCTACTTTAAATGGGATGAACCCAGTGCTACTATGGGTGGAGTTATTATGCAATAATAATGCATAATATTCTGCAAAAGGCAATAAATCAGACCAGTCATCTTGCTGATAAGTTACATAACATCTAAGGTATTGTTCTAGTACTGAGTTAGTTCATTCACAAGCCCCATTAGTTTGAGGATGGTGGGTGGACCTTAAGCCCTGGGCAGAGCCTAATAACTTCAAAAATTCTCTCCAGAAGATAGAAGTGAATTGTGCCCCCTATCTGAAATTGTACATTCAGGAACACCATGTAGCCTATACACATGTAGAATAAACAGTTTAGTCAACATTTTAGCAGAGGGAATCTTTGGACAGGATACAAAGTATACCTGTTTGAAAAATAAATCAGTAATAATCCAAATGACTGTATTTCCCTCATTCTCCAGAAGTTCCACAATGAAATCCATGGAAATTTCCTTCCACGGGGCACTTGGCCTAGCAACGTTCTGTAGCAGACAAGCTGGTTTACCAGGGGGTCATTTCGCCAAAGCACACACAGGACAACTGGCAACATAAGCTTCTGTGTCTTTTTTCAAAGATGGCCACCGGAACTGCTGTATAACTAAGTGCAGGGTTTTCTTTTTTTTATATATATATATATAAATTTTTTATTGTTTTTTAACATACAAACACAACAACAAAACATAAAAGCATCAGCTCCCCCATATTTTTATACAAACAGTAAGTCGGTTGGTCCATCAGTTTTGTGCATTCATCTCATAGTCACAATTACAATTACCTTATATAGTACTCTTATTATCAATACAAATTTATAAATCATAGTATCACTATTAAAAAAAAAGAAATTTGACTAAACTTTTATTCGATCATGCCTTTATGAGATAACTATATTTTAAATAATTTATTCTAAAACAAATCTTATAATCATGCCAATTCTATCCTAAATAGGAAAGAAAAAAAAAGGAAGCAGAAAACTATTATATAAATATAGTATCAAACACCAATAAAAAGAAAAAGAAAATAAAATCAATATTATTTCTTATTGTCTAACCTTTATATTTTAGTATTTCATCATTCAACCATTGATAGAAGAGATCCCAAACTATATAAAATTGTTTATCTTCTTGCTCTCTAATTTCAAAAGTCAATCTACTCATCTCAGCACATTCCAATATTTTCTTTACAACTTCTTCTTGCAATGGAATTTTCTCATTTTTCCAATTTTTTGCAAATACAATCCTAGCAGCAGTCAATACATTTACAATCAAATATTTCAACTCTTTACTATAAGTATCTGGTAGGATTCCCAATAAAAAAACTCCGGTTTCAAGTCTATATGCTTCTTTGTCATTTTTTCCAGCCACATGTGGATTTTAGTCCAATATTTTCTAGCATCCTCACAAGTCCACCACATATGGTAGTATGAACCAGGTTTCTGATGACACTTCCAACATTTTTCGGATTTGTTCTTGAACATTCTTGCTATCCTTGTCGGGGGAAAATGCCACCTGTAAAACATCTTATACAAGTTTTCTTTATAGGCTGTAGACATTGTCATTTTATAATTTTGCAACCATAATTTCTGCCATTTCTCTAAATCAATCCCATATCCAAAATTCCTCCCCCACGCAATCATAGTTTCTTTAACTTGTTCTTCCTCCAGCTTAATTTCCAATAAGTAACCATACAGCTTTTTAATCATCAGTACCCATCAAAATCTTATCTAAATCAGTTTGCTTATCATAAAATCCCTCTGCTTTGGAATCCTCATAGTACTTTGAATGTATTTGCAGATATGAAAACCAATTCATCTGTATACCTTGTTCTTCTAGTTTTTGCATTGATTTAAGTTCACCCTGTTCATCTAGTAATTCCCCATAACTAACTGTTTGTTCCTTTTTATAGATTATAGGATAAGAGAACGCTTCTATCGTCGATAACCAAACTGGAATTTTCAAATAACACTGTTTTTTTGTCTTCTCCCAATTTAACCACAAAGACTCCCTTATATAATGTCTTCTAAAATATCCCTGTGTTTTGGTTCCCTTGTACCATAAAAAGCATGCCAGCCCAACAGCAAATCATGACCTTCTAATGTCAACAATCTAGTTTTCCTTAATGTTATCCATTCTTTAACCCATGTCAAATTTGCAGCTTGGTAGTACAACTCCCAATTAGGCAGACCAAACCCTCCTCTAAATCTAGCATCCTGTAAAAGCTTTAACTTTATTCTTGCTTTCTTGCCTTGCCATATATACTTCAAAACAATTTTATTTAAATCCTCAAAGTATTCTTTTCCAAGCCTAATTGGTATTGTTTGAAACAAAAATAAGATTCTGGGTAAAATGTTCATCTTAATTGTTGAAATCCTTCCTATTAATGACAGTTGTAAATTTTCCCATTTTTTCAAATCTTGGGCTATCTGTTGTTTAAGTTTAATATAATTGTTCTCCTTCAATGTACTACATCTTGACGTCAAGTATATCCCCAAATACTTAACCTTATTTGTAACTTGAATTTTTAACAGTTCTGCCAGCTCTTCTCTTTGTTTCAGCAACATATTCTTTGACAAAATCTTTGTTTTATCTTTATTTATTTTCAAACCAGCCACCTCCCCATAGGCCTCTATCTTTTCCAACAGCTTCGAGGCTGTTTCTATAGGATCTTCCAGAATGAAGACTAGGTCATCTGCAAAAGCTTGTAGTTTGAATTCTTCCTTTTTGATTTTCATTCCTTTTATAGTTTTATCTTCTCTGATATTTCTATTCAACACTTCCAAAGTCAATACAAATAACAAAGGCAAAAGAGGACAACCTTGTCTTGTACCTTTTCTTATATTAATAGAATCTGTAAATTCTCCCTCCATCATTACCTTGGCTGTTTGTTCATTATAAATTGCTTCTATTGCTTGAATAAATCTTCTAGCAAAGCCCATCTGTTCCATTAAAAGTACCATAAACCTCCAATTTACATTATCAAATGCCTTTTGAGCATCTAAAAATATCAAAGCCATTTGCTTTTCAGGGTGTGCCTCATAATATTCCAAGGTGTCCAAAATTACTCTCATATTATCTCTAATTTGTCGCTTTGGCAGAAACCCATTTTGATCTGGGTGAATAAAGTTATTCAAATACTTTTTAAGTCTTTCTGCTAATATTGAAGCAAAAATTTTATAATCTGCATTTAATAAGGAAATCGGTCTATAATTCTTGATTTGAAGTAGATCCGCCTCCTCTTTTGGAATAAGTGTAATATAAGCCTCTGACCATGTTTTAGGAATTATCTTTTTTACCATAACTTCATTCATAACTTCTAACAGTGGAATACACAATAATTCTTGAAAGGTTTTATAAAATTCTACAGGAAATCCATCTGGACCTGGTGCCTTTCCATTATTTTGTTTCTTAAGTGCTTGGCTTAACTCCATCATTGTTATATTGCTTTCTAGCATTTCTTCAACCTCTTTAGGTATCTTAGGTAGATTTACATTCTGCAGGTATTGTTTAACTTTCTCCTCATCAATATCTTCTTCCTTATACAAATGTTTGTAAAAATCATAAATAATTTCTTTTTTCTCTTTGCTGCCATGACAAGTTTTACCTTGGTCATCTATTAACTGCAGTATTTTCCTCGATTCTTTCTCCTTTCTCAGTTTGTATGCTAGCCATCTACCTGGCTTATTTGCATCCTCAAAATAATTCTGTTTAGCATTCCTAATTTTCTGTGCCAGTTCTTCTTTCTCTATTAAGTCCATTTTATGTTTAGTTATATCCAGTTTCAGTTTGACATCTTTTCTGTGTGGTATTTTCTGTAATTCTTTTTCAAGTCTTTTATATTCATCATCCAAGGCTTTAAGAGTTTGCCTTTTCCTAATATTCTTTTTTCCTGTATAGTCTATTATCAAGCCTCTAGCATAAGCCTTCATTGTGTCCCAAACATTCTGTATTGAAGTGTCTTCTTTTCTATTCTCTTTAAAGAAAAAGGGCAATTCTTTCTCCATCCATTGTATAAATTCCTTATCCTTTAAAATAGTATTATTTAATGTCCATCTCGATCTTTTCCTTTGTCCCTTCCATTTAATTGTCAATGGGTTGTGGTCAGCCCAAGTACTTGTTTCAATATTTACTTCTTGAATACTAGACATTAAATCTGTTGAGATCCAAATCATATCCAGTCTGGACCATGATAGATGCCTATTTGAATAAAACGTAAATTGCTTAAGTTTATTATTTCTTTCTCTCCATATGTCTTTTAAAGTTAATTCATCTATCATTTTAAAAAAGGATTTAGGAAGAGTTTTTCTATTATGCTTTACTGCTGTTGCAATATAATCAAGTTTATTATCCACAATTCCATTAAAGTCTCCCATCATAATTGTATTAGCATAATCTAGTTCAGCCA